TTGATATGGGAACTGACATCCGGTTGATGACCTTGACCAATGTCCAAAAAATACTTTTTTGCAAATTTATGGTGGTCCTGAAAAGGATCGTTTAGCCGTGATGGTTGAGTAATGCTGAGCTATTAGGGTGTTAAACACAGATTAGGCTGGTTGGCTGTATGTTGTTTGGAATGAGGGTGACGCGCTTGGCATAGTTGGCCCACAGTGACTCTCGAAGAGCTACTGATTCCGATCAATCGTGGTGTGGCTTCTTCCTCCTTCTATGGATGCTCATGTGGGATGGATTGCATTGCATTGGATTCGTTGTGTACTGGAGAACAATGTTCAACGTCACGTGCCGAAAGCACGTGACACACACGGTGATTGGAACTGAATCCGATCAGCGGTTGAGGCCAGACTTGATAACTAGCTGCTTTCGGGGAGCCTTTCGTTGTGTACCGGAGAACACCACCACTCACCACATCGTTTGGTAAGACCGGATGGAATTCTACTTTGAAATCTATGTTAGGGAAATTGCTTTTCACAGGCAATCGGTGATAATTTTGATTATCATAGCAACAGTTGCACATTCGTGCAATTCACATGTTGAAAAATGATTTAGTCTTAAATTTGTAGATGCGTATTATAAATTATATGATGCGTAAATTATTGAAATTGGTCCAGGGACAGCTGAGTTATTAACGTTCAAAATCTTTCATTATTTTGTTACATGTTTCATTTTCGGTTTTCACAAAGTGTACCCCCATATAGAAATCACAGACGTAGTCCTACGTTAAAAAAAATTAACGAAAACGGGACATAACGCATTTTCAACAAATTGAAAGAGCGGTGATAGAGTGTTCATGAAAGGTGATTGAAAGTAATAAAGAGGTTTTGTTTAACTAGAAAATCGACGTTACTTACATTAAAAGCGATGAGCAAAGCAACGACGAGAAGATCCACAGCCAGCCTTTCCTTCTAAGCGTGTTTCTTTTTCATTTTCGTTTCTAGCTAGGTGTTTTAGAAATGAAGCGTTGAACACGTTTGTATGAGAGAAACAAAACTCGAGTTCATTTTAGAGCATCGAACATGTAGAGCCCTGATCCAGATAGATAAGTAATACTCTGAACCTTGACAGGCCCACTAAAGACCTTATTAGACTCCGCAACACGATTCGTAGCCAGTACCAGCGTACTGGGCTGTCTAACCTGAAGACCAATTGCAACCGTTTGAACAAAATCATCCAAGCCAGGATGGTGGATCTCAGAAATATCGATTTTGCAAACAAGATTCGCTCTCTCCCAGATTGTGCTAAACCATTCTGGAAAATGACAAAGATTGTAAAAAAAAATAAACCGAGGCCCATCCCTCCGCTTTTCTCTCCTAATCAGAATTCGGATCCATCCTTACTCATAATCAACTTCTTCGAGCACCTTGCAGCGGTGTTCAATAAGTGTTTGGTGCTTTGCTACTTCCCTGCATGTTGGAAGTTAGCCAAAATCATTCCAATCCACAAGCCTGCCAAAGATCCTACCAGTGTCAAAAGCTATCGCCCCACCCCCACATCAGCCTCGTGTCCTCCATCTCGAAGCTTTTCGAAAACTTGATACTCAGCCGTTTGCTGGTGTTTTCAAATGATAATAACATCTTGTTCAAAGAGCAATTCGGGTTTAGGAAAGGCCGCTCTACCATCCACCAACTCAGGTACCTATATTCATCAAATGTATAAGTTTTATACTCTGATAATTATCAAAATGGTTTGACTCATCCAATAAATACCCATTACTTTATATATCATGCCTTATTATAAAGTTATTAACATAAATGTCTCAAAAAAGTGATGTATAAAAATGTCAATTACTCAAAATATAGCAAAAAGTAGCAGCCAATTTTTATACAGTGATTAGTGTAGACTTTGCTGGATAAAATAACGACCACAGTTCAACAGGCAACTGCAGGTATTTTCATATAACATCATTTGAATATTGCATATGGTAAATTCTTTAAAATTTGTTGAAATTTTGCTTTGTTTTACACACATGATGAGATGCTATTGATGAATGCAATAGATGCATTATAAGATTACTATGAGACTTAAAACTGCTGGTTTAAAATGTCCATCCTTCAAACGTCCTCCATAGTGTCCTTTCGACTTCCTTCCTGAGCCTCCTCACTTAACATACCAATTGGAAGCAATGCAATTTGGATTGCTTGCGATCCGTGGATTAAAACCTTATGGACAGAGGCTGACATTGGATACCATTTATAAAGACTAACATAAAGACGAGCAGGTTCTTCAGCAAAATTTCTAAATGCTGTTATTTTGATCGAAAATCCGGAAGACAACGTACGAAGAATTGTATCGCATCGGTCAATTAATTCTTCATTAATACCAGTTATTGCACTTGTTTGGGTTGCGTTAGTGAAGAATCTGCGTGCTTTTGTGCTTGTGTTTCTGATTGTTTGTAATCTATTCAGATCAATAACATCTTATCATGTTTTACACACAAAGCAAAATTTCAACAAATTTGAAAGAATTTACCATACACACTTAGAAATAACTAATTGTACACGAGACGGAATCAATCTTTGACATAAAGTACGAAAAATAAACACAAATTTCATGGCCTCCGAGAATGAAAAGTTCGATACTCGACGAAAACTACGTTTGATTGACGTGAATTTCGCGTCTGTTATGACTCAATTTTATGTCAAATTTGACGCTCGTATATGTCAGTCTCAGAGCATCTAAAATTACATCAATGTTTCTAAGTGTGTATGTAGTATTCAAATAATGTTATATAAAAATGCCTACAGTTGAACTGTGGTCGTTACTTTACCCAACAAGGTCTACACTAATCACTGTATAAAAATTGTAATTGACATTTTTATGCATCCCTTTTTTGAGACATTTATGTTAATAACTATATAATAAAGCATGGTATATAAAATAATGAGCATTTATTGGATGAGTCAAAACCATTTTGTTAATTATCAGAGTATAAAACTTATACATTTGACGTATATAGGTGAAAAAAGGAAAAAACGCAATTTCAGAGGTTAGTTTTCCTAATTGCCCAATACCTGAGTGTCATAGAGTCATAGAGTTTCGATGTCTTGGACAACATTTCTCAACACTTTAAATTACACAACTTTGCCCTGAAAACCATTCGGCTAGGATGCTCCGTTCAAAAGATAGACTCGAGCGCCACATATGTGGCGTAAAAATGAACTAATATGAAACTTTCAAAAGATGGCGCTTTTAGTATCGAACAAATTTGTAGAACATTGTATTTCTGTAGAAATACGGCGCTAGAGGTTTTGGCCAGACGAATGGCTTCGCTGCCCCACTGTGCGACGTGGGGGAATTCCCTTGTTGACGCGAGATGATCGACGAAGATTTTTGTCTCCTTCAAACTCCTCGAATGCAAGTTCATTCTCGACTGAACTGTGAAACGAATTGCTGTCATCGGTTCCATCCTCTTGCTCCGAAACTTCTTCAGGATCTTCGAACATCGGTTCATCAACGACTGTTTCAAGCTGCTCGCGCGTACCATTAGTTAGTTCAAGGAACTTTGCGTCCCTACTAATAGTGACACGGTTCGTAGTGGAGTCCAAAAAAACGATACGCCTTCTTGCCATCAGCATATCCAACAAACACCATCTTTCTTGCCTTCGGATCAAGCTTTCGTCTTCTCTCATCAACACTCGGAGGAAAGAATAGTTTGGTTTCTTCCCCCACCAAAGTTCAAACGGTGTAGCTTCGATAGCAGCGGTCGGTAGTAAGTTTTGCAGAAAATTAGCAGTTGACACTGCCTCCCCCCAGTATTGTTTACCAAGGCGAGCTTCCATCAAAAGAAATCGCATCATCTCTTGCAAAGTGCGATTCTTTCGTTAAGCCGTGCCATTCTGTTGAGGGCTGTAGGGTGCTGTTTGCTCCAATCGGATTCCATTTCCAGTCAAAAATGTCTTCAACTCAGTACAGGAGTACTCTCCTCCTCCATTCGAGCATATTACTTTCGGCAACCTACCAAACTGATTCTGCATCATTTTTGAGTACTCGACTATCTTCTCAGCCGCCTCCGACTTGTGCTTCAGCAGATATAGAACGCAATACCGGCTGTAATCGTCCACCATAGTCATCAGGAAACGATTTCCTCGAGGTGTCGCAACCTCCAACGGTCCGCACAAGTCAGTATGGACAAGATCTCCTACAGCGCTACAGCAGACACATTTTTCCTTCATAGCACACTCCGCAATCAGCTTTAACATCACAATCCTGCAAATTTAGGCCATTTCCGAGACCCTCTCGAACGATCTTCTCAATCACTTGCTTATCGCGATGGCCAAGACGACGATGCCACACATGAATACAATTCTGGTTGTGGCCTGCCATCGTTTTTAACGCCTTCTGAACATAGATTTTCAGCTGATACAGATTGCCTCTTCTTTCAGCACCAAGCAGAACTTTCCCATTCTTCTGGATCTCACAACTGGTTTTGTTGAACAATACGGAACACCCTTCATCGGTCAATCTACTTACCGACAGTAGATTTTCAGCCAACGCAGGAACATGGTAAACTTGCTTGATAGTCACAGGTACCTTCTTACCATTGCCATCCAGCGAACGGAATCTGCTGGAACCAACCCCTGCCGCAGCGATCTTGTTACCATCAGTAAGGCCAATAATCGAACTCACCTACGTAACGTTTTCCAGAAGCGATGCATCACTGGTCATATGCGATGTGGCTCCCGAGTCTAGACACCACACAACATCACCCGAATCACCACCGAGCAGTCCAGCAACCAGACACACCTCGTCAGCTTCTTTATTTTCGACCACTATGTTCGCCTTCTGATTGTTGGCACTTTCTTTTTCTTTGTTCTTCATGTCGTACTCCAGCTTCCGGCAGTCCCGTCGAAAATGTCCTTCTTTACCACAATAATGGCAAACTTTTTCTTTCTTCTTCTTTTGTTTCTTTTGGTTCACTTCCGTTTTCAACACTTTTTCATTACTGCCGCTAGCACTTCCACCGGACTTTGATCAGACTGTCATAGGACTCGTTCAGACTTGACAGGATGATGGCAACTAACCAGTAATGTTTCAGCGGATCTCCCATGTTTAACAGCCGGTTGGCCAGTTGCGTGATTTGCGCCAAATTATCGGCCATATTTCCATCTTCCGGTAAGTACATTCGGAAGAGCTTCCGCAAAACATGTATTCTCGTGGCAAGCGATGACCAGGCATGGTAGTTCTTCAGTGACAACCACATTTCGCGAGCTGTGGCAGCATGCATGACGTGGCATGTTTGGCCATCATCAATTGAGAGACCGATCAGAGCCCGAGCCTTGCCATCTCTATAGATCCAGGACGAGTTCGTGTTCGTTGCCATGTTGCTATGGTACTATCCAGAATGAGCAGCGAGTAAAAAAAAATGTCTTCACAAGTGAAAATGTTTTTTTATCGGAGAAAAAAAAAAAACACACTTTACATCCGATTTCCGAACGGAATTTTTCACAATTTGCAAACTACGCGCAGTGGAAGCGTGCTGGGCCCATAACCTGTTGGGAAATATCGGATATTGAACAAGTATTAAAGGCGAGATTTATCGAGCAACGTTTTTATTTCAATGTGGTTCAATTACACGCTTTTAGAAGAATGACGGAAAATAAACTTCTGGTTGCATCATACGTTTTTCAAAAGAACATAGTTTGTTTGCTCTCTACGTTGTCGTTGTGCGAGGGACGCACTGATGTAGACGGCATGTGGTGTACTTTCCAACACCCCAATGCAATGCGAAGTTGAAGTTTCCGGAAGGCGGATGAGTATTCATTGAAGACACTGAAGCCAGTGGATCCATCAATGCATGATCCATCAGTGAAAAATCTTCTATTGCAATTGACTTGTTGGTACTTTTCAGCAAAAATACGGGGAATTGAGATAGATCGAAGTTTTCAATCACAAGGATGTTACTGACACTACATTTGATCAATACTCTTAACGAGAGCTCCCAGAAACGGTTCTTCAGGGGTTTTACGCCTGCCAGAACCTCTAAGCTCATAATATTATTGTGTGTTGAATGCATACAGCCTAGGGCAATACGTAAACAACGATATTGAACCAGAAAGAGCCATACTCAAGAACTGAAAGAATAGTCGTTTTATATAGTGTAACCCTCCGTTACTCGCGCCAACTTTTGTAACACGAGTACTCGCGCGTTGTACTTTGTACAACAGTGTGAGTTTTCCATTGCCATTTTGCAGCCGAGCTACCAATCGATATGAAACCAACGGGTATTCCTCAAAAAACTTGTTTTTAACTGAATAAGCTAAACTTTTATCACAGTTGACCCTCAAAAAATGCGGATAATAGAGGAAATGTGAATGGAAACCGCGTAAACGGTGTCCGTACTACGTGGGATTTCACTTAATTGGTTACAACATGGAAAATCTCAAGATCCTGACCAGATAGAAAATTACTGTTTCGGGCAAAGTTGTTCAAGAGATCATAACCGTTTTGCTGGTGGAGAGTAGTTCAGAAAATTCTCACTACGCTAGTATATACGTGCAATTTTCGCATATACAATAGCTCGAGATCCTGAGCAGATAGAAAGTTACTGTCTTCGACAAACTTGCTCAAGAATTTTTGGTCGGTGGACAGTAGTTCAGAATTTTCTTACTACGTGGCGCTAGTGTACATGTGAAATTCTCATATTTAATATCTCGAGATCCTGACCAGATAGAAAGTTACTGTCTTTTTTTTATAAATCGTTTACTTTTCCAGGCTCATTTGCTGTAGCTTTGCGGAGCCGATATTCATTGTTTAAATAACAAAATTACTTAAAACTAACGTTAGTAAAGCGGAGGCCGATTACTCGCGGCTATCTCGAGGTTAGGGGTAACAAATTGCAACAAATGGATGGCAGGGTAGGGATTGTGAACACAAGGTTTGGAGAGCAATGTGCTCTTGATCTCGAACTAGGCGACACTCTGATAAAAAAGACAAAAGAAAGTTACTGTCTTCGGCAAAGCTGTTCAGGAGATCATAAACTTTAAGCTGGTGAACAGTAGGTCAGAATGTTCTCACTAGGAAGCGCTTGTATACATGTTCTCGCATGTGATACATCTTGACCAGAAAGAGAGTAAATGTCTTTGGCAAAATTGTTCACGGGCAACGAGACTAACTCAGAGATTGAGGCTTTTTTGCTCAGTTAAATGGATACCCCCAAAAAACATGCAAATGTGTTATGTTCATATCTTTGTCATTTTACGTCCAATTGTCGTTCATTTTAGAACATTTGAAAGATTTTGAATGGAAATACAAGGAGGCAAATTGCTCAAAATAATTTTCAAATTTTGTATACCAAAAGTTATCCTCAAAGCTACACTATTTTCCAAAATTTACTCTGAAGAATCATGATTGATTTTCTCAGAATTGATTTGAAAAAAATATTTGAAATTAAAAGTAGTTCTAGAACCCTTATGCTATACCATCCATACCATTCAAATAACCTAAGGCGATCAAAGAAATTGGTTGTAAAATGAGAGAGCTTCGAACAAACCACATTTGCATGTATTTTGGGGGTGTATTTAAGCTTATGATCGGGCGTGTTGGTTACTCAGCGCTGAGTGAACTACGCTTTTGAGAATTTCTCCTGACAACTGAGTAAAACAATCTCACGATAGTCCTATGGCTCGACTGGCTAACTTGTGTGTATATATTTTATACATTGTACATAAAATTACACATTTTAGACGAGCTGAGTAGATTCTTCTCGCTTAGATTTAGGACAAGGTGTATGTAACCATAAATTTGGTGTCACACTCCTAGCAGCGTAGGAATAACGGTTTTATGAAAGAGATGATAATTTCATATTATCAGACCTTTTCTTTATGACTTTGGATGTACCTACTCACTTAGATTTTTTGCCGAGATGGGCACCACCGAGCAGCTCGGTATTGTATTTTGCTGGATCTCAGCGAAAAACTTGTCACGTTGGGAAAAAATCCTTAACTATTGTCTACCAGCCAAAAAGTCTTGACCCCCTAAACAACTTTGCCGAAGACAGCAACTTTCTAGCTGATCAAGATCTTGAGCTGAATATGCGAGAAAGGCACATATATACTAGCGCCGCATAGTGAGAAAATTCTGAACTATTGCCACCCAACAAAAAGATCTTGACTTCCTGTAAAACTATGCCGCATACATTTACTTTCTATCTGGTCAGGATCTAGAGATATTTTATATGCGAGAATTTCACATGGATAGTAGCGCCGCGAAGTGAGAAAACTCTAAACTACTGTCCACCTGCGAAAAGGCCTTGACCTCCTGAACAACTATGCCAAAGACAGTACCTTTATATCTGGTTGGGAACTCGAGATATTTTAAATGAGAATGTCACGTGTATTCTAGCGTAGCGTAGTGAGTAAATTGAGCCCCAAGCAATAGGCTTTGATCTCCTGAAAAACTTTGTGAAAGACAGTAACTTTCTATCTGGTAAGGATCTCGAGATATATCACATGCAAGAATTTCACATGTATGCTAGTGCTACGTAGTGAGAAAATTCTGAACTACTGTCCACCAGTGACAAGGCTATGATCTCCTGAACAATTTTGTCGGAGACAGTAACTTTCTATCTGGTTAGGACCTCGATATATTCCATGTTGTAATCAATTAAGTCAAATCCACCGTAGTATGGTCACAGTTTACGCGGTTTCCATTTACATTTTCTCTATTATCCGCATTTTTTAGGTGTTTACTGTAATCAAAATTTAGCTTGTCCAGATCAAAACAAGTTTTTTGAGGAATACTCGTTGGTTTCAGATCGATTGGTAACTCAGCTACAAAATGGCAATGGAAAACTCATGTATGTTGTACAAAGTACAACAGTGCGAGTAACGGAGGGTTAATGAGGTCTTCCGGGTGAGCACTTACTTACAGAGTGGACAGAACCACTAACCTTCGGGGGATTTTAGTATTCCTCAAATTGCATCAAGGTAAACAAGAGGAAAGTTCACGAGTCTGAATAAGTATTCGCGTTCTTTTCCTTCTCCATCCAAGGCGAATGATGATTAATGTTTTGATTACAAATGAGCTTAATATATGCTAATTTTGTTCAATGTACTTAAGAAAATAGCAGTTCAACAGCAAACAACAAAACCCCCACCAGTTCATTCACCTTCAATCAACCTGTGCTCATTAAATTGCGAACGATGTCACCGACTAAATTCAAAACTCTCAAACAAAACCTCAAACCAAGGTCTAATTTTTAACGAGACTTCGAGCAAATCGCAGTAACCGGCGCACATTGTTAAAGCAGTAATTACCTGGGCAACAACTCCCGCCAGCAACCGAAGCAACGCATCCGCTTGACTTCATGCTCGAAGGATAAACAAGACAGACGTGTAGCGTGCGACCCATCCTTGGATTCGCTGACCTGCCCACATCATTTACCTGGTACCGGTGCTTTGCAAAATGTAGATAAACTTTGAATACATGGTCTGCAGAAGCCAACGCCTCCCACTGCCGCCGTCATCACCGGCAGCGTGGGTTTATGGTGTTGTTGGATGGTGGTTAACTACCGACCGACCGACCGACCGACCTTACGGTGATGGAGCCAGAGAGCGTTCGGTGTTCCGCTGTTGTATGCAGTGAGTAGCAAATTCAAGGCAAGATGGTTACATCCCACAGTAGATACGAATTAGATGAAAACGAAAAATAAAAGTAGGCAAAGAATCAAGATCTTGGTAATCCTGCTTCAAGTGGACGAAGCAGGCGACCTACAAACGTTTACTGCCCGCTGGAACACTAATCCTTTAAATATTGGCTTTTGTTGCGGTGGTAGCCTGCTTTGATCCTCTCGTGTAGGGACGCCCTCGGTCGGTCATTTTCCCTCGCAAGAGGGTTGCTGCGATTATGTTATCCTGTTGTGATGGCGCCGCTCGGCAAGTTTATCAATTCGGTCCCCGAGACACGTTGGCTTTTTGTTAATCCTGGAAGTGAAATGAATCCCTAAGCCGGCCCGGCGCCTGGACGGCATTTCACTACTGCAAAGCTTTTACGACTGACGGTTTTTCTGTTTTATCAAGATCCCCGGTCTGGAGTCAGACGGCTCGGTCAGATGACCTTTGAACCGAACGCCTGGCTTGGGGTGGATATGTGTTAGCATTTAATTTCACTAAGCTCTGTGTTTCTCGCCGGTTGTAACTGTAGAATTGCTGGGTATGATGTTTTTCTCTTTGAGGATTTTAAGTAAGCACAGCAAAATAACACGGAAAATGGGATTTATGTTTCAGGAACATTTTCAACTCGATTTTTGCTCCCGATTTCCGTCCGGGTTTGTTACGTTATATTTCAATCTTCTTGATCCTCTTAGGAGCGAAATGGAACTAC